GTCACAGGGACTGTACTGATTCTAGCCCGTTTGTCAGAAATTAACTTTTCTGCCTGCTGCTTTACCTGGGGGTGGGGGGGTGTAGTAATTGGGAAGGGAGAGAGTAGGTTTAAAAAAAAAAAAAAAAAAGGGAGAGCTGTAATTGTAACCAATTCTTGCTAACACTGCCTCAATCAGCAACCTGAAGTAGGAGTCCTGCTTCCACTCAAATCAGAAATCTCCTCTTGGGGATGCCCAGAACAAAGCCTGTTGTTACCTGCATGTACTGAGTAAAACCTGAGCCACTTCTTTTGCTCCTGTTTTTACGGAGGTTTGCTCCTGTGGATGAGGTAAGTCACACTACCAATCACATAGGCCACTGCAGAGTACAATCCCTCTGCAAGGAAGCAGTAACTAATGAAGACAGCACTTGTGCTGTAACCCAGAAGTTTCAGTCCTACCAGTAAATTGCTTAAAGTCTTCAGGCACTTGGGCTCATTCTGTAGTTAAATTGTTTCTTCTTGTAATTACATTTGAGTCAACCGTTAAAGCCTGCTTGAATTTACATCCTACAATTAAACAGGGTCACTGTCTTCCTGGAAATACATTTTTTCCCATGCAACAAGGTGGCAGGTACAGAAAAATCTCCAGAGGTTGCGGACGAGCCCTTGATCAAATGGGTTCTCCGTCTCACAGTGTCGCAGGTAGGAGATGCGGTGGCGGGACATGAACTCCCACGTAGTAGTGTTGCATGAGACCAGGTACAAGTGGGAAGCCAGTAGCAGCACCGCTACCACAGTGAATATGGCCATCAGGACAAAGGACAGGAGGAGGAAGATGTTGTGCTTCAGCCACTTCCACGACCCTTCGAAATAAAGGCCTGACCTTTCAGGTAAGAAACAAATACAATCCGGTCACAGTGGGCTAGATATGGACCTCAGATTATATTAGACCAAGCAATAGTAAGGCATGCTTAAGCCTAACTCACAACTCCACTTCTGATTGTGACACTGATAAGTGATAACACTTCATACAGGTGTTGGAGCTCTGAAGCATGGTAAAGCTTTGTCCAAAGGTAAAAGTCAATTCTGAATTCAGTAGGACCCACGTGTGAAAGATGTACTGAGCATCCAAATCCTTATAAAACTAGCTTCTCCTGACAAGCAGAAAGCCAACCAGCTTTCCCAGTTGGGCACTGGAGAGCTATGTAAGTGCAGTTCCAGGGCACAGTAATACAGATTATGTGGAGTTTCACTACTTGCCACCTGTAAATAAAGCTTGCTTTGAAATAAGGTGGGGAAGGCTAACTAGTCACCAACAAGGCCCAAATGAGTTCCCTTAAGATAAGTTTAAAGCAGAAACATAACAATAGTTGCAATCCAAATGATCAAACTCTGTTAACTACCTACATTATTGCTGCCAACAAAGTCAACAGCCTTCCCTCTCCCAAGGCTGTTTCAGGTCTTTAGTGCTGTCCAGAATATGGAGAATGGAAGCTGGCTCTGATGGGATAGACCTATAGCCAGACTCCCAACCTACCTCCCCACTTTTTCAGAAGTCTTTGGGAAACACTGAGGCTCTATAGGGAGTAAGACTATGTGCTCAAGAGGGCTGTGCGATGCTTTGGGTACTGATTCGATTCGGAGGAGATTCGGCCCAATTCAGTGGCCAAACCTCTGAATCTGAATTGAATCGGGACCAATTAAAAGGTCTGAATCTATTTGAAGCTCTCCGAATCAATTTGGAAAAGATTCAGAGAGTTTTGGCGATTCAGGCAGTCCCTGCTGGCTGGGACTGCCTGAATCCTCCCATGGGCAGCAGTCATATTCTCCTGCTGCCATGAGCTCCCAGCCCTTTAAAAAAAAACAACAAAAAAGCCCCCCCAAAATCTGGGCTCACTGGCTGCTGCAGCAACCT